TTCAATTTATTAAAATCCGACCTATGCAGACGTTGAAAGCTCTAGTTGAATACCCAAGTCTGTGTTTCTCTGTCCCTAATATGTGCTACTTTGCTACCCAAAGGACTTTATCTCAAAGGGTCAAGTTTATCTTCTGTGTGTATATATGTTTCTATAAAGTAGCCCCCAGAAAAGTATGAATATGAGGCTGTCAGCATTGTGTTTGTGTATGGGTAACAAGGGGGTCTCAAGGTCTTTATCTCTTGTTAAAGCAAAATAGAAGGGCTAGGAAGAGCTTTGTGATAGAAGATTTGCCCAGGATGCTGGAACCTGTGCACTTAATCTCCAGTACTGAGGGGGCAGGAGAGACAAAACATAGCACATAAACAAGGATTTCTCCACAAAGCTTTTCTATGACTTGTGGTTCATAGCCACTATGGAGGTCGAAATACCTCTTCACAGGGGCCACCTCAGACCATCCACATCTCAGATATTTATATTATTATTCATAATAGTAACAAAACTACAGTGATGAGGCACCAATGAAGATAATTCTATGGTTAGAGGTCACTATAACAGGAGGAACTGTATTAAAGGGTCACAGCATTAGGAAGGTTGAGAACCACCATTGTAATAGATTCCAAGGGATGATTAGATAGCTTAATTGGTAAGTCTTTTGGCTATACAAGCATAAGGGCCCTAATTGACATCACCAGCACACATATAAGAAGCCAGGAGCAGACCATCCTGTAATGTTTGTGTTGAATGGGTAGAGACAGGAAATCCCAGAGTTCATGGGCCACCCAGCCTAGTCAAATTTGTGAGTTTAGGAAAATGCCAGTGACCAGCCTCAGCTGGGAAAGGGGTTCTGAGGAAAGGGTGTTTGGGACAGGCAAAAAGAAGGACTTGAATTCAGTCTTTGAGTACACATTGACAGCCTTTTGTTCTACTCAAGACAGCTCTCTAGATATCTCAGCTCTTGCAGACCAAAGCCCAGTCTTTTTATTTACATGTAAATTAAATTGTTTACCCAGGTTCCCCTTTATCTCATGAAATAGCATTTTTGTGACCCCTTGATTCTTAGAAAAAAAAAACAGCAAGTACATTTTTTTTAACACAGCAATAAATTCAGAGATCTGCCTGCCTTTGAAATCATAGACAGTAAGCTAGCTGGGTGGGATCCAGCTCTGAGATCACCACTTCCTAAATCTCTTTATCTCCTCCTTTAATACCTTTCTGACAAGTTGGCTTATATTATAGCTGCCTCTGTTCTTTTAGATCCATGAAGCCTGTCATGTAATTTATATTGCATCCTTATATTTTGCATAATTGAGAAATTATATATTCTTGAACTCCTATGTTTTCAGAGTTCTTTCTTACAGCCTTAATGGCTATCCTGAAGGTCATAGCATTTACCTATTTTGCCCATTTTGCTAAGGACATTAGACACACTGCCACCTCCTGGACTCCTGCTATCTCTGATTATCATGGAGTCATTAACCTTGGCAGAGAGGACATTCCCCTCAAGGAACATAAAGTAAAATATACAAACAAGGCTTACACCTAACAACCATCAACACTCTTAGAGGCCCATACCCTGCTGGCTCTGCTCCACGAATGGGAACTTTGTCACATCCCTTCTGAATGGCCAAGCAGGATTCAGCAGGGAAAGACCCTATCTAAAAAGACAGAAGTTGAGAAGCTGTTAACCTCTTGCCTCCACATGTATATACCCATGTGTACACATTAACACATTACATACACACACAGAAGCACACACCCAAAATACATTCTAAGGGTACATACTACCTTGCTCTAGAATCTAAAATCTCCACGCCATAGTCCAAATAGTGTGAGTTATCTGTGTTTATTCTTCTCCTGATGTTAGAGGAAACAAAAATCCCTCTAGTATCTACTGCAGTACCCTCCATGAAGCCAATGGATAGAGAGAGCCACCATGCAATGCTTCATGTGAAAAGCCTGTGCCATGAAGGCTGAAGGAGTTCCCATGGTTGTAAGTGTGTCTATGCTGGTATTCTATGGAGGTTGGTGTGCCTCAGTAGCCAATCATCTCAGTGTCCAGCATAACTGAATTTAACTCTTGCTTATTCTCTTGGCTGTGAGGGCTTAATGGCATTATCCAGCTGATCCTGTGGATACTTTTTTCTGGAAATACCCTCCACCTCCATCATTTCAAATATTATAGACTTCGTTATAAAAACAAAATAAATATCTAACTTCAGCTTATTTTTCTCCCTTTAAGTAGTAAATTCTACCTATTCAATGGGTATTTTTACATTACAATTACTATATTTTTAATATCTGAAAGTCTGTATCCCTTCTATCTGTCCCCTCTGCCATGTCCCTTCCTCTATAATACTCCACCCCAACTTTTATGCACACACACACACACACACACACACTGACCTACAGCATATACATATGCTGTTCTTTCCCTTGGAATGACCTTGACTGCCAAAGCCATGCATTCATCAGACTCCTTTAGTCTCTTACATGGACTTGTAGCACTATATTACTCTACCTGTGCAATGCAGCCTACAAATGCTGAACAACCCTTCAACATGTAGGAGGTGTTCAGTAAACAGAAGGAGGTCACTCTCTGGTCTAAGACAAGGATGTGAAGTTTTAAAATTCAACACCCCAGTGCAGAGAGAAGACATCAGAGAACAGTGCTCAGAAAGTACATGAGAAAAGAAGGGGAAAGGGTGGGAGTGTCTTGTTCTGTTTAGAATGCTTAACAGTGTGGACAGACTGGAGGTGAGCGGGGCATATGTGCAAAATAAGCATGTTTCTCACAGTCCTGGAGAGTGGAATAGCCAAGGCCAAAGCTGTGGCAGGTTCAGTGTCTGGGGAGGTCCTGCTTTCTTCCTAGTTGGTGGATTTCTGCTCCCACATTAGAAGCTGTCAACAAGCTTGACTGGGCCTATATAAGGGCACTGATCTTACGCAGAGCTTTTCACATTCCAAAGGTCCTTTCCTCAAATACCATCACCATTGTGGCTAGGAGTTGTCTAACTAGGGTTACTATTGCTCTTTGAAACACTGTGACCATAAAGCAAGTTGTGGAGGAACAGGTTTATTTGACTTACACTTCCATATCACCATTTATCATAGAAGGAAGTCAGGACAGAAACTTAAGCAGGGCAGGAACCTGGAGGCAGGAGCTGATGCAGAGACCATGGAAGAGTGCTGTCTACTGACTTACTGTTCCCCATGTCTTTGCTCAGCTTGCTTTCTTATAGAACCCAGGACAGCAGCCCAGCGATTTCACAACCCACCATGGGCTTGGCTCTCCCCCATCCATCACAAAATAAGAAAATGCCCTTCAGACTTGCCTAAAGGTTGGTCTTATGAAAGCTTTTTTTCTCTCTTCTTTTTTTTTTTTAAACATAATGTGGCTTTTTGGTGGTGGTGGTGTATTTTTTTATTTACTTTATATCCCTATCTCATCTTCCCCTCCCTCCTCATCTCCCAGTCCCTTCCTCCCCTCTCCCCTCTCCCCATCCTCCAGTTCTTCCTTTTTCCTCAGAAAAGTTAGTCCTCCCATGGATTTCAACCCACCTTGGCATGCCATGTTCTAGTAGGGCTAGGTGCATCTTCTCCTGTTATGGCGAAGCAAGAGAGGCAACAGAGTCAGATATAGCCCTTACTCCTGCTGTTAGAAGTCTCCCATGAAGACCAAGATGCACAACTTTTATATATGTGCTAAGGGCCTAGGTCCATCCCATATATGCTCTCTGTTTGGCTGTTCAGTCTTTGTGGGCCTCAAGTTATTCCTTTGTTTGTTTGTTTGCTTGTTTGCTGTTATTTATTCACTTTACATCCATCTCACTGCCTGCTTCCCAGTCATGCCCTCCCATGATCCTTCCCCCATCCTCCATCCCCTTCTCCTCTGAACAGATGGGGGTGCTCCGGATATCCCCCCACCCTGGCATCTTTAGTATCTGCGGGGCTAGACCCATCCTCTCCCACTGAGGCCAGACAAAGCAGCTCAGCTAGAAGAACATATCCCACAGACAGGTAACAGCTTTTGGGATAGCTCCTTCTCCAGTCATTCTGGACCACATGAAGGTCAAGCTGCATATTTACTACATATGAGTATGGAAGCCTAGGTCCAGCCCATGTATGTTCTTTGGTTGGTGGTTCTGTCTGTGAGAGCCCCAAGAATCCAGGTTAGTTGACTCTGTTGGTCTTCTTGTGGAGTTCCTATGCCCTTCAGGGCCCACAATCCTTTCCCCTATTCTTCCAAGCTCCATCCACTGTTTGGCTGTGGGTGTCTACATCTGTCTGCGTCTTTTCCTCTGAGGGTGGAGACCCTCAGAGGAAAGCCATGCTAGACTCCTGTCTGCAAGCATAACAGAGAATCATTGATAGTGTCAGGGATTGGTGCTTGCCCATGGGATGGGTCTCAAGTTGGACAGGATATTGGTTGACCATTCCCTTGGTCTATCTTCCATTCTCCATCCTCCATCCCTGTATTTCTTGTAAACAGGATAAATTTTGGTCAAAAGTTTTATTGGTGAATTAGTTTCCATATAGCTCCACTGGGGTTCTTGCCAGGCTACAGGAAGTGGCCTCTTCATGTTCCATATCCCCAATGCTATGAGTCACAGCTAAGGTTACCCCTGTTGATTCTTGGGTGCCTCCCTTATCCCAGGTCTCTGTCATATGAGCCCAGGTTATTGTTAATTGAGATTTTCTCCTCTCAGGTGACTTTAGCTTGTGTCAAGCTGACATAAAACTATCCAGCATATATGAATTTGGAGATGGTATATAAGCATTCAAACTATACCATCTACAAATCTAAAAACTCAGTGCATTTCTAGTTATTTGATAATTGAAATATATGCAAATGTTTTGACAAGGGGGAGCTTTTGGGATATTCTGGGTTTTTCCATACATAAAATTTTAATTTCTCCAGAAAGCAAAAACCTGGTGGGCATAGCTATGGCTGAATGTCAACTCCAATCTTTTTCTTTCTTTATTTTTTCTTTTTTCAGGTTACAAACTCAGTTGCTAACACACCTGGCCAGATGACTCTTCATCTCAAGCCTTTCCTGGTGTGTGGAGGGGATGGATTTACTCACTCCAACTTCGATGGCTGCATCACCTCTGCCCTGAGTGTCATGAAAGTTTTAAAGCGTTATATTTAGTGTTCTTGTTTTCCACATTTACTTTAGGATTTTTGTTTTCACAATCCTCTGTTATTAATTGTTCTATTTTCCTTTCTGTGAAGAGAAATTACTTTGGAAAATGTCTTCACTTACTGTCATTTTTAATATGAGATATAAAAACAATGTTATAATTTTGATAGCTATTACCCATAGTAAAATGATAATTTCTTAGACTGTACTTCTTCCTTACTTTTCTGACTTTTCATGATTAATCCTTATTGAAGCAAAATGGTGCTTAGAAGTCCCAAATAAACTAGCCCCAGAATTGTACTAAACCAAAGTTCTCATTCATGGGAAAGCTTTGTTATCCTTTTGAAAACTTCAGTTCTGAATAAATAACAATCACTACCAAATCTCCTTTCATAGCCTTGCATGTATTATTGAACTGCAAGATTTCTCCAAAACATGGAATAATTTTGTTTCTCATTTACTTTCTGAAGCTCTGGGTAGTAAGTCACATAGACTACAGTTTGAAGAACTGCTTGATCCACAAAGGGACCCCTGTAGGTTGTCAGAAATTGACATGAATCATCTTTATTTTCCAAGTCACATAATGCTTTTTACCCTTAAGGCAAATTCCAGTCTTCGTATGTGAGATACAAGTTAAATGGAAACTGAGAGGTAATCTATCAATCTTTAACACCAGGTCCCCTCTGGCTGGTGCTGTCCATTGTGGCACTTGGACTATGTCATAGATAATGAATTTTCTGTTGTTCAACAAAAATTCTCGTAAACAGAAAATAGATGCATTTCAAATCACTCGATATTTGCCAACTTAGTAGCTTGGCTTGTCACCCATATACTTTAGCAGTTGGTCCCATCATTGCTGGCTTGAGAGAAACTGAACCTCAGATTTCCAAGCAAGATGTGTATCATTAATTTGGAAAGTAAAGTAATGCTATTTTGTCTTTTTTAAAAAAAGATTATGCGGTGTGAGGATAAATGTTGCTAATACCGTTATAAATCATGCTTGTTTGGTAAAGTGATAGTAATAGGTTCTTCTCTAAAACCTTATGGGCCCTGGGGAGTTGGCTACATTTCTATTATTAGACATGATTTTCATCTTGCTGAGAAAGTTTGAGTCCTATTAGACAGCAGTTGGTTACTACCAAGATATAAGTGCCACTGTTGCAGCTTTGGGGATATCTTGCAATGCTGATCATTGTTTTGCTCATAGGTATCACAAACAGACAGGACTACTGATTGCTTCCCTCTCTTGTTATCCATCATGCATAGCACCTTCTAGTACTGTGAAAACTAGTCTCAGAGAGGAGGCTTTCAGGTCAGACCCAGTCCTTATCTTCTGTTCTCTGCTTCCAAAGTGCATAGTGTCTTCAACAATAGAGTCTTACCTTAAGTCCCCAGAGGCAGCATAGGGTAAAAGCAATAGGATATACTCTTTAAAGCTATCTCTTGGATTCCCCTGGCCAACAATTCAAATGGGATTTTCCCATGGGTGGTGGATTTTTGTTAGTCTCTGCCTCTTGTAGTAGCATTGTCTGCCTAAATAGCATAACTTCATCTGAACTATATTTATTCCTCATCAAAGAAGTCTCTCTTTGTCAGATGGAGATCACTAAAAACCACAACTGACTGTAATGCAAAGAACAACTGATCAGGAGGTACCTGGCCCCAGTGGATACAACTACAATACAACTACTGTGCTCAGGGAACATCTTGGCAGAGGGAGCAGAAAGATTGTAAGAGCCAAAGGACCAAGAAATCTGCTGTGAAATTGTGTCTCCTAGAAATAACAGGAAGATATGCCCATGATATCTCAATAGTGTGGCTCTCTAAAGGAGACCTGAACAAGGGCACCAATAGACATGTTAAGGGGAAATCCCATGGAGCCTCACCCCTAAACACTGATCTATGGGCAAGTAAGGAATGCCACGAGAGGGAAAATTGATATTTCCCAAGGAGAAGCCTCCTATCTCATTATCAGTACCAAGTGGTCAGCTCTGAGATCACATATAGAAAGCAATACTAAATAAACTCAGCAAATTTTATTTATGTATCTGTATATACACATAACAATAATAATCGAAAAAAGAGAGACCATGAAGTTGCGAGTAGAGATTGGATAAGGGAGGGGTTGGAGGGAGGACAGGGGAAGGGGGAAATGGTATCATCTTATTTTTTGATAATGATTAAAATGATGAAATTTTAATTTTTAAATAATGTTTTAAAGGATTTAAGGCTGGCCTCAAATTTACTATTAACAAAAGATGGCCTTGAGTTTATGATCCTCCTACATGTGCCTCATAAATGCTGGGATTACAGATGTGTATACTACTGTCTTGGTTATTTTCCTGTTGCTGTATTGAAACAGCATAAACAAAACCACTTGCAGGAAAAAAAAAAGAGTTTATTGGGGCTTACAATTTCAGAGGATGAGTCTATGACCATCATGGCAGGGAGCTTGGCAGCAGGCAGGCAGACATGGCACTGGGGTGATATCTGAGAGTTTACATCTTGAAGTGCAACCAAGAGGCAGAAAGAGCTAACTAGAAATGACATGGGCTTTTGAAACCTCCAAACCCACCTGGAGTTGGCATACCTCCTCTAATAAGGCCTAGTCCTTCCAAACAGTTCCCCTAACTGGGAAGCAAACACTCAAATACATGGGAGCCATTCTCCTTCAAACCACCATACCCTGTTCATGTGATGCTGGGTTCTGAGTCCAGGGCTTTTTGTATGCTAAGCAAGCACTGTACCTACTGAGCTACATCTTCAGCTCCTGTTTCATTCTGAAAGCAAAGAAATCATTGTCTCAGCCCCTAAACTAGGAAACAAAGAGTTTGTCCCTTGGTAGTGTTTAAATTGCATTCATCTGCTTGTATGTAGGTGTGCCACATGCATACCTACACAAGCACTGGCAGAGCTGTCTGGCTTATCAACAAATTAGGATCTGTTCTTCGGGCATGTGAGAATAGCTTGCCTTCTATCAATAAATGGGCCAAACTAAAAACTAAAATGCCTGCATACAGCTAATGTCACTTCATTTGAAAGCATAGAAAGGAAGAAAATAAAATGTAGTTTCTGGTATAAAATAATGAAAATGGATTTATTGCATGATTCTGGTCCATGTTTGATTAGTATTTGTCTTTATTTTCTCTTCAAGTACCTAAAACTCATTCAACTGTCTTTACTGCTTTGTTTTAAATGGGTATACATCTGAAGTCATTGGGCAGAAAATGTCCTGAACTTTTATGAACAATGGAATACTTATGTCCTAAAAGGGAGGGGGAAACTTGCTTAAAGAGAAATGGGTTAGTTATAGAATCATTCTTGCAAAACATTCCTAAGAGATTTCATAGCTATTTATTCTAAGCATTCCAAGACTTCTGTACATTTCGTTAAGACGTTACAATGTGAGCAGAGACTCCACCCTCCTCAATACCAAGATCATTGTCACCTCACTCTTTCAATCATGCTGAAGACCCCTGCTGCAATTGGATTTCCACTTGCTTCTTTCCCTTTAGAAAAGAAATAGATAAGGAAATCCATGTCCTTAAAGCTATTGGAAGGATGCTATAAAAGAATGCAGGGCAAAGATGTCCACCATCACCCACCCCCTCGGAAGATGGGAGTCAGCCAGGCTTAGAACAGTGCTGGGGTGTATTTCTACTTCACAAGACCACACATCACCACCGTATTTCCAAGTAAGGACTTTTATTAGCCAAGCCAGCCAAGGAAAGCTGCTGTGTTTTGAAAGGAGCATATTCAAGTGAGAAACGGCTTGAGCAGTGGGGTGATTTAATACTTGTTAGCTGATAAATATAGCCTTTGCCAGAATGAAACTTTATGATGCACGTTGAAAAGCTTAATTACTGAACTGTCTCTGTGCATCTTGCTCAGGCTGCAAGGGTGACAAATTACAGCCGCAGAATACTGTTTGCTTCTTTGGCATTTCTGAAGGAGAAGGGAATGCCTAAAATCACCAAGAAAGAAGTAATAATCCCAGACCCGATATTACTAAGGAGAAAAAAGACATGTCTTTGAGTCACCAAGCCTTCTGCACATAATGCCATCTTACCAACCCCCCACCCCCACCTACCCACCACTTTGTTAAGTGAAAAAGCACAAGGCCAGTTTTCCATTCTTCTGGCATTTCATCTTTAAGCATGTGGGTATATATCCTTGCATGCTTCATCTTCCCAATGCCCCTGTGAAATAATCGGGACAGGAAATTCTTGTCCACATTCAACAAATGAAGAAACCAAGGCCTAGAGCTTGGCCAACCAAGGTCATATAATGACATGCTGGGACAATAACCCGTACTTCCCGTGACCCATTTCTATTACTGGAACCAATCAGCTTCCAGATGAACATGATAATTAGAGCTGGCTGATATAGTCATCGGGGTACAGTCCACACCGTGTGGTCTTCTTACTGCCACTTCATTTCAGAGAGCTAACACTAATCCTGGCATGATATGTATGGGGGTCTCATATGGAATAAAATCCCCATTAGTACTGGCTAAGTGATTTGTACTCCACTGGCTGGTTTATTGCTTTCTGGTGAAATGAGGGAGGGAGGGAGGGAAGAAAGGAAGGAAGGAAGGAAGGAAGGAAGGAAGGAAGGAAGGAAGGAAGGAAGGAAACAGGAAGAGAGGGAGAAGGAAAAGAAAGGGGATGGAGAGAGTGAGCAAGAAAGTAAGCAAGCTATGGTATGTGGTCAGTGCTGCTCGCAAGCTATGGTATGTGGTCAGTGCTGCTCGACAAACCTCACAAGGCCTTGTTCTCCCAGCTCGCCCAGCCTCCCTCCTCCTGGGACAGTTCTCACACACACTCACTGGTTCAGTATTTACTCATCAACAAAGCTACAAGACACACAAAAGCGAGGCTCAGATCATAGAAGGTGCTCAGTAAATATCTCCCTATCCAGTGGGTGAGTGAATTCAGTGGAGCACCATTTCCTTTTCTGATGTCTAAAGGCACCCAAAGAAAGCATCATGGTCCTCACAGTGAGCTGATGCCCATCCTTGTGAGAGAAGGGAGACACAAAGCTGT